AAGCAAAAATCTGTTCGCTTTATTGCACAATGCCTCTCACTAAATGAACAAAACTAAAAGTGTCCTGGATAAACATGCATCTTCTTTCTAAGATGCAAATAATCCTGCAAAAGGATTACTGGTTCACACTTTTGTATCATTTAGAAAATGAGCAATTCTAAAACGTGGCTGAGTTCTCAGTTCCACTGAGGAAACAAAATGTAACTGAAATAGAGAGACACGAAAAGGACACAGTTTAGAGCACAAAAGTCTTCAGAGGATTGAGGCAAACACCAACCTTGGTAGGTTTTTACTAAGAAGATTTATGGTCTTATGAGACTTCTAAAAGAGAAGTACACTATCAATGAACAAAGAATACAGAAAGGAAGAAGGGCAATATCAAGACAAACAGTAAAGAGGCCAACCTTTCAACCTTTTCCCAAGTTCATAAATAAATGCTTACATATGTTATTACTTTCTTTCATTTGCTGATACTGTGGTGCTTATATAAACAATGCATCTTAAACTAGTATTATATTTGTTTTAATTTATTTACTTAATACTATAATATTCATCACCTTAAATCGTGTTCTCTTTCCTAAAGTCTTGCACAAAAACAGATGAGAGAGCAAGACTTTAGGAAAGATAACACATGATTTAAGACAATGAACAACACAGTATTAAATATTATGAAGAAGCTGACAGAAGCTGACACTTATTTGTGTGACAAAAAAAGCGGTGTGAAAATTCAAACAAGTGATATCATATGCAATTTTGGAGCAGAGCATATTTTAAAAGCAGAGATGATTTGCAATTGNTTTTTTGTACAGTTCTTCTGTGTATTCTTGCCACCTCTTCTTAATATCTTCTGCTTCTGTTAGGTCCATACCACTTTCTGTCCTTTATTGAGTCCATTTTTGCCAGGTGGTAAGTGCTCCTAAATATAACAATGCTCTGGGACTTCTCAGACAGTCCAGTGGGTAACATTCCCCTGCTCCCAGTGCAGGGGGCCTTGGTAGGATGCCTGGCTGGGGAACTAGATCCCACATGCTACCACTAAGAGTGAAGATCCTTCCTGCCACAACTAAGACCCAGCACAGCCAAAGAAAAAAAGAAAGAAAAATATAAAAACAAAAACAAAAAAAACCATAACAACAAACTTTAAGAAAGCTCTAAGCGAGCATCCATACACACTCACAGGCACACTCACTACATGCAAACACTCACAGCCTTGGTCTGGACATGGCACTCAAGGCAATGACTTGCAACTTATTCAACCAGGGTGGGAGAGGGGTGGATACCACATTTCTTTCTTCCTTTTGCCTCCAGTACTGATTATTGTGCTTCTAATCAGAAAGAGGAGCCAGGAGGAGGTAGAGACAACCGCATAAGCGTGTGGTGGAGAAGTTCAATGACTCAAGTCAGAGAAAGAAGAGGCATCCAACATCACTCATTATCAGAGAAATGCAAATCAAAACCACAATGAGGTACCACTACATGCCAGTCAGAATGGCTGCTATCCAAAAGTCTACAAGCAATAAATGCTGGAGAGGGTGTGGAGAAAAGGGAACCCTCTTACACTGTTGGTGGGAATGCAAATTAGTACAGCCACTATGGAAAACAGTGTGGAGATTTCTTAAAAAGCTGGAAATAGAACTGCCATNGATGGCAAAAGAGATTTCTTGACATTTAATATTTTTTCTTGGAGATATACAGGCAAGAAGAGGCAAAGGGGTCACCAGAGGCCACACCTCTCTGCAATGCAGGAGACTCAGGTTCTCTCCGTGGGTCAGGAAGTTTCCCTGGAGAAGGAAAAGGCAATACACTCCAGGAGTCTTACCTGGAGAATTCCATTCATGGAGGAGCTGGTAGGCTACAGTCCCTGGGGTCACAAAGAGTTGGCCATGATTGAGCGAGTAAGCACAGAGACCACATCCATTTCTCTGGGTCTCAAACACTTGGAACAATGAGTCCCTGGGCAGAGTACCCTCCCCCGCCCTGCCACTCGGCCACCTCGTGGACTGTAGCCTATCGGGCTCCTCCATCCATGGGATTTTCCAGGCAAGAAAAAGACAAGTTACTTTAAAGAATGAAGTCAGAACCTACTTAGCCCCATTTATTCTTTGAATAATAATAAATGAATAGATAATACAGTCACACGGTTCAGAATTCAAAATGTACAAAAGGATATGTAGTATCAAGTCTCTTCAGTCCCAAGTCCCTACCTCCTGGTTCCTCTTCACAGAGGCAACCAGTGTTACCCGTGTCTTCAGAATATGCATCTATAAGACATGAAAATATGGATTTATATGATCCTCCCCCATAAAACACCATGGAGGTGCCTGATACACAATTATGTGCATTGCCCTGCTCTTTAGAACAGTAATTTCTATACAAAGATACAGTTTTATAGCTGCGGAGTACTGCTTTGTCAAGCTGTATTAGAACCTACTTAACAAATCTTCTAGGGAAGGACAGTTCCATTATGTCCAATCTCTGGACATTGGTGGAGAGACCCCGGATCCTGTAGGGACAGCCTGAGGGGGAGGCTCCACCCCCAGAGGCCCTGGCTCATTTGCATGCTCACACGTGATTGGTCAGTCCCTGGCCCCATGGCATGGTGTGACTGGTCTTTTTGCTTCTCGCCCAGTCTCCCGTGTTGGCTATTGCCAAGTTCAGAGGACACTGGTCACACCACACACCTGGCACAAAGTGACCCCCTCCTCACTACCACTATGCCCACAGAGCCACCTCCAGCGCTACGAGAGCTGCTGCTGTCTCCATGACCATCCTCTGCAAGAGGAACCCAGACAGGCCCATACAAATGGGGGAGACACCCTGCCCCAGGACTGGGGGAACGGGCAGCTCCCAGACACAAGGAGACAGATGGGGACTGTCCTCTCAAGCTAGATGTCCCTTGTGTTTTCTGACTTCCACAGGCCTAGAGTCAGGAGACCAGACCAGAGTAGAAAAATGAGAGCTGAGGAACATCCCCTCAGGGCTGGGTGATAAAACCCAGGTTATAAGAAAAGATAAGAACAGGAGGAGGTGAGGCAAAGAAAGAAGAGAGAGAAGGAGGACCAGGATGAGAGGAAACATGGGCCAGAAAGCCCCTTCCAGCTGGACTCCTGGATTCACAAGCCTGCCAGGAACCCTGCCCAGGGCCTCTAGGAAACCATTCCCAGAGACAGCCCCCATCCTCTCCTCCCATGTGAGGACTGGGGAGTCTCAGGAGAGACCTGGCATGGCCTAAAACAATTTGGGGAAAATAGAAAGCAAAGACAAAAGAAAAGAAAATGAAAAATTCCAAACCGAAGAGTCTTCTGGAAAGGTGTAACCATGACTCCAGCCTCTCGGCTGACCATTCCTCTCCTCTGTGACAGGAACCCAGCAGGTTGGGGTGCACAGAGCTGAGAAGCCCCGGATTCAGGCAGCATAGCTTCAGGATGATCCTGGAGAGGCGGTAAGCAAGGGAGGATGATGGAGAAGAGAGAGGACCCTGGGGTGTGAGGAGGGAGAAGAGGGCTCAGGCTCCCCAGTTCCTGGCTTTCTCCCCACACTCCCAGACCCTGGAGCCACAGCCACATTCCCCATCCCAGGGAACACCTAGTTGTGGAAGAAGCCCCCGTGGGAGAAGGCAGGGAGATCAGAGGCACAGACAGCAGCCTGGGGCAGGAAAGCCAGGGAGTTGACCTCGTAGGACCCACCATCCTGGACTTCCTGGAATTGACAGAGTCAGAATTGATGGAGGGCTCCTAGTCAAAGAAGTTGTAGGGTTGCAGGAAGAAGCACACACTGTTCTCTTTGAAATCGAACATCAAAATCCTAGGAACACTGAAAGCTCTGAGGCCAAAGGAGAAAGTCCACATGAGGAGGCCACTTGATTGCTCTGGACAGTGAGCAGGGGTCCCTGAGGATGGAACTGCAGAGGTGGATTTGGACCCGGGGGCATCTGGGACCTCAGGGACCAGGACTCACCTGTGCCATTGTCAGGGATCACCACCATATTCACCTGGCCAGCTTAAAACTGCGCCTCCAGCTGGGCCAGACTTTCATAGTAGCGACCCTGAAAGAACACCTTCTGGATGGTCCACTGGGCAGGGTCCAGAGCCTTGTGGTTTACCAGCAGCACCAGCCCCACAGGGTGCAGCTAAGATCTACCTTTTGTGATGTTATACTGGAGGCCAAACCAGGTGGCCCTGTCCCCTGACTGCACACCATGGGGAGCTGAGTCAACAGTTTCTGTCCTCACTGGGCATAGGAGCAGCAGCACTGCTGCTGTGCCGGAGGACACCAGCAGTGACATCATCTGGTCTATGTCCAGGGACTCCCGNGCTCCACGGTCACATCCCGCATGTAGGAGGGCTGGGGCAGCGGTCCCACCACCAGCTCAGTCACATTGGGCTGGGGTTGTCTGCCAAAGAAGATGATGGCCAGTGCCTCCCGGGCAGGTGGGGGGCTCCCCCTGTCCAGGTGGGCCAGGGCTGCCGCCTTGGGGGGCAGCTCCAGCTCTACTGAGAAGATGCAGTTGTCTGAGGGTTGGGCCTGGGCTGCATCCACCAGGTCTGGCCCCAGCTTCTGGGTCAGGAAGCTCATCACAGCTGTCAGCTCTTCTCGGCTCAGGTCTGCAAACAGCTGGCTCTGGTCAGGTTGTGTCCAGGGCTGGGCGCTGGGGGATCTGGAGGGGCAGTGGGGAGACAGGCTGGAATGACATTGCTTCCCAACTCTCTTCTCACTCCCAGCAGGACCTTCCTCCCTGCCCATCACCAGAAGAGTCCACAAGGACAGAAAAATGAAGATGAGCATCGCTAAAACTCCTGACTCTTCAGCCTCTTGAATCAGAACGCAGCATGCAAGACAGATACACGGACAGACAGAACAAAGTGGACGATCCCTCCTTAGTGTCTGGAAGTTCCTGGCTCTGGGTGGCGCTTCTGGGCACTGGCGTGATGGGTACATTCAAGACAAGCAGCCAAGGGCAGAGGGTTGGCAGGGAGTGGAGGGTGGGGTGGGGGCCATGGTTAACTCAGTTTGGGAAATAGGGCTGAGGTAGGAATCTGCATTTTAACTGGCCCACGTCATTTTAACTGGCCCTCTGTCTTCATGTTCCAAATCAAACACTCAGGTTCAATGTTGGAGCACAAAGTGGAGGAGGGCTGGGTTTGTGAGACACAGCTGGAGGGAGGAGAGGAAGATGTGACGGGGACAGAAAGGGACTGTCCTTGGGCTCTTCCTTCCTGCTCCAGGCCCAAACTTTCTCCTGGCTACCTGGCTGCAAGAAAAACACACCTGAGCACAACCCTCCAGATGATGTGCTCCTTCCGTCCTCCAGTCTGGGAAGCACTCATCACTGTCCTCTGCTCCCCCATCAACCAGAATCTTACAGGCACCCACAGGAGCCTGCAGAGTCATGCTGAGAACCCAAAGCACCAGGGAGGACCTGGAGACTGAAGGGCTGAGCCAGATCAACATCTTTGAGGCCCTGAGCTCCCTGAGTCATTGGTGGGGAGCATGCAGTGGGGGGAACAGTCAGTATAAGAAAGACCCCCTCCTTACCCCATGAGCAGGACTGATAGACCACACAGGTCACGGTGTCTGGAACCCTGGCTGTGAACTTAACCCAGGTGTCCACAACCCTCAACCCCAGGAAACCCTTTCCAGAATACTGCAGAGGCAGAGAGCAAAGCTGCCTCCATTCTCAGGCAGGTGATGTGGGGGAGACACCATCTTCTGTGCAGCCAGGCCCTGACAGGACCGGAAGATCTGAGGGTCCCAGAGATGGGACATGCTTCCCTGGGGACCTGGGGGAGAAGCCTTTTCAAACTGCACACGCCCAAGACCACTTCCCCCGAAAGTCTCCTTAGATGACCTTGCAGGTCGCCTGGAGGAGAATGGACAGTACGTTCCAGTCAAAAGGATCAGAAGGTGCAAAGGTACAGAGCTTGAAACAGCCTGGGCATGGGCAGGAAGCCAAGGTCAACGTATTTGGTGTGAGGTGGAGACAGGAGTCAATGGGACAGCAGAAGAGATCAGGTCAGGAAGGCTTTTGCGGTGTGTGGGTTTTAAGCAAAGTAGGCACTGCAGAAAGACAGAAATCTGGGAATATGTGAAACCAGGGAAATCAACCCCAGAAATGTTAGGTTCTCCAGATACCAACTGCTTCTGCAACCAGCTCTATTTTGATATGGCATGCGGGTCATTTTGTTATCAACCTTGGTCCTCGGAGTCTTGCATCAATAGAATTGATAAGAGGTCGGTGAAGTAAATCAAGTGAGAGTTAATTGGTACTCAAGCTGCTGCAGGAAGGACCAAGAACAAAACACAAGTTCCCTTGCTTGCCCTCCGTGGACTGGTTTCTTCAGTGGAGTAAGAGCGGGGGCAGATCCGCTGAGCGGGCCCCAGGGCTGGCTTAGGTGGTCTGCCCAACTGCTAGTGGTGCTGTGGGCAGGGATCGTGCCCAATACACTGCTTTTGCTTTTGGCAACTCAGAAGTGGCAGTACACTTGTGCTCTTTTTGTATCTACGGTTCATGATTGCCTCAACTGCTGGTCCATGCCAGTATTTTTAATGCCTTAGTTTCCCTGTATTCTGTTGCTTGAGGGGACATTTGTCCATGTGCCAGTGCAAGCACCCCACTCAAGGGTCTTCAGCCCCAGACTCTGAAATTGAAACAGTTCATGCGAACTTTGTAATAAGAGGAGCAGAATCTAAGGTCACACCCAGCCCTGGACACAAGGCCAGCCTTTCCAGCCACGAACTTCATTCTGGATCCTTTTGTAAGTGATGGCCTCTTCTCCTTGGTAAGAACACATCATCAAGAGGATGGATAATGCTTTCCCTGTGCTTGGTAAAAGTTATCCCAACCAGGGTGACCAAGCAGAGGTCAAGAAAAGCCACTCTGCTGGGGTATTCCAGGTCTCCTAGGGAAGGTGGGTAATGATCAGGGAGCAGGAGGGAGAGATATTGCCTGACCTGGTTAGGAATTTGTACAGAAGAAGGTGCCCCCTGCCCATCTTCTCTAAGTTTCCTGCTGACACATCGCTTCCTCTGATGTCCTTTCATCGTAGGCTTCACAATCATCGTGTCAACCATCCTAAAGCCAAAAAGGAGTCTCATTTGGAGAATTACTCAGGAGACAGGACCACACGTCCTGTTCCCCCCACTGGGTCTATGTGTGCCTTTGGACAAACTTGGCCCCAGCCTCTGTGACTATGCTCAAAGTGAGTTGATTCCTGGGACCCAGAGCCCATCTCCAGCCCCCAGATCTGGGCCTCAGGAGGCGGTGACTGACCTGAGCTTCTGCTCTGAGGCCCAGTCCAGCAACAAAAGGACACGGAGGTCACTGCACTCCAATCTGCAATCTGGGGACACGGCTCTGACTGTGGTTCCGAGCAGAGCTTGGATATCGGACAGACAGGGACCATGACACCGGAGGGGAGGCAAAGGGCCCGACCGAGGCCAGTGACCTGGAGGACAGGAGGAAGGGAGGGTCTGAGCAATGTGCTGGGTGGAGTTGACAGGACTCGGTGTCTGATTGGCTGGGTGGGTGGGTGAGAAAGAGCACAGCGACTTAGGCCACACAAAGCCACAGTTCCATTCGGTGACTTGGTAATTTATGGTCTTTTCTTTTTTGGTCTCACAGTGCGAGTTGTAGGATCCTAGTTCCCCAACCATGCATGGACCCCGTGATGGCTACAGGGGATGGGAGGAGCCCTAACCACTGGAACGCCAAGGAATGTCCTCCAACGAGTGACTTGAGTGAGCAAGGGGCTTTCCTCATCAGAAGGACCTACAAGAAGAACAGCAAGGTTAAGGAGGAAACCAATAAGTTTGAGGTTGAGCTGCTCCTGGGAAGCCCAGGCATAGATGCCCAGAAAAAGGACCATTATTTCTATGGGTTTCCAGGGATGGGATAACAGCATCTAGGCTAGAAATTGAGATTTAGGTTGAACAACAAGTAGTAATCATTAAAGATAGGAGAGCCTGCAATCATCCATGGAGGACTATGCAGAGGGGAGAGAGGAGGGCCGGCGCCAAAGGCCAGAAAACGCCCAGGTTTGGGGCTGAGGGGGCTGGCGGAGCAGAAGGAAAGGAGCTGGCACAGGAGCCTGAGAAGCAGCCAGCATGCCCTTGGAGGGGTCAGCATGTGAGGAGGTCACAACAGGCGAGAGTTTTCAGTAGGGACTAGTCAGAGAGGACCAAGGCCACCCAGAGGTCCAGAAGTAGCAGCTGGAAGTGCATGTGGGTTCTGCATCAGCAGAGGGAGGGAATGGGATGAGGAGGGACTCAGGGGAAGGAACCTGACCCTGGAAATGTAGAGCTCTCATCGGAGGATGGTGCCTGGAAGGAACAGACCCAGGGAAGACACCCCCAGGAACAGCTGGGCCCTGGCATCGACTTAGCGAGTTGACTCAGAGCCAGTTAAAAGGGAGAGATTTAAAGTTCAGAGAGAGGAGTGGACAACTGAGAGAGAGCCTTCTGGAGGGGGCCAGCAGGGGTGGGTCCCTTAAAACAGGTAGAGAGTCTGTAGAAATAATGAAAATTTGGCCATTTTCACTGCCAAGTCCTGTCAAAGAAGCTCTCAGGGAGAGGCAAGAAACTTTTTTTGTTGCTGTTAGGGGTTTCATTTTCTCCCATCCCACCATCATCTGTATAAAGTTTACAAGGATCATCTAAGCAATTATCCCATCAGCACACAAAGGACCAAGGGAACTATTTTGGGCTAGGATTTTACTTTAATCAGCCACTGACTTTCCTAAGTGTTAAGTGTTCATTAAAATAGTGATGCCCTGGGACTTCCCTGGTGGTCCAGTGGTTCACACACTGGGCCCCACTGCAGGAGGGGCAAAGGAAATTCTCACTCCCTTCTGAGAATGCTTCCAGGGCTCCCCGTTTCCCTTAGGGTAACCGTGGATTGCAAGCACCTGCCTGCTCTGCCCCTGCGGCCCTCCAGGCTCTGCTCTCAGCCCACACACCTGTCAGTGAACTTGGGGACTTGGACGGTGTTACCTTGTCACTTCCTGGCCTTTGAACATGTTGTTCTCTCTTCCTGGATGCCCTTGGGGACAGGAGTTCCTTAGAACCTGACATCCTGGGTTACCCTTCCCTCCTTTGGCTTGACCATGTGTTTGAGGCTAACATCCAGCCAGCTTCAAGGTTGGTGTTTTTTTGTTTTTCTTCATTTATTTTTATTAGTTGGAGGCTAATTAGTTTACAGTATTGTAGTGGTTTTTGCCATATATTGACATGAATCAGCCATGGATTTACATGTGTTCCCCATCCCTATCCTCCCTCCTACCTTCCTCCCCACAGCTTCATAGTTTTATGAGATAGTGGGTGGGGTATATGGCCAGAGGTCCACCTTGCAGGCCTCCTGACCTCAGTGGGCTGAGAAGCTCTCGATCTACATGTCCAGTGAGGTCTGGGCCAGGGGTGTCATCCCTAGACCAGCTGTGGAGAGACACAACCATAGTCCCTCTTCCACATCAAAGTTGTGATCGAGCATCCACACACACTCACATGCACACTCACCACTTGAAAACACTCACTGCCTTGGTCTGGACATGCTTTCAAGGCAATGACTTGCAAGTTATTCTGCCTGGTAAGGGAGGGGTTGACACCACATTTGTTTATTCCAAAAGAAAAAGTTCCTTTATTCCATTGCCTCCCGAACTGACTCTTATGCAACTGACCATAAAAAGAAGCCAGGAGGAGGTAGAAACAATAGCATAAACATCTTATGGAGATGTTCAATGACAGGTCAGAGAGAGAAAAGGCATTCAGTCAGTATCAGAACCACGGCAACCACAACATCCATTTTCTCCTCTGTCTCAGTCTTTAACTGTTCCTTTTCCGCAGCCTCTGTCCCCTGCCACACTGGCTTCCACCTTGGGTCGTGTTATAAATTCATCCACCCACCACACTCTCTCCTGACTGAGCTCTTTCTCCCAGTTCTTTGAAACCTAGCTTCTCTCCAGCTCACTGATTCATCTCCATCCACTGTTGATCCAGCAGTGAACCTGGGCTTGGAGCAATACAGAAAGGATCAGAAGCTTGTGTGCTGTGTGTGCTCCCTGGGTGTGACTCCCTCAGGTCAGAACCTGAGCAGCATCTGAAATCTGTTTCCTGTCCTTCACCCCTCAGCCCTGCATGGGCTTCCAGCAGTTAGAGGACACCCTTCCCCATTGCTTCTCATTCACCTTCTCTGAAGAGAGACAGACAGGGAGAGTGAGCCATAGACAGTCAAAGAGAGACTGACTGAGGTTTAACGTTTTCCTTGAAGACGTACAGACAAGAGGAGGTGAAGAGGTGATCAGTAAGTCTGTTCAGCTCAGTTCAGTCGTTCAGTCATGTCCGACTCTTCGCAACCCCATCAACCGCAGCATGCCAGTCCTCCCTGTCCATCACCCACTCCTGGAGTTTACTCAAACTCATGTCCATTGAGTCAGTGACGCCATCCAACCATCTCATCCTCTGTCATCCCCTTCTCCTCCTGCCCTCAATATTTCCCAGAATCAGGGTCTTTTCAAATGAGTCAGGTCGTCACTTCAGGTGGCCAAAGTATTGGAGTTTCAGCTTCAACATCAGTCCTACCAATGAACACCCAAGACTGATTTCCTTTAGGATGGACTGGTTGGATCTCCTGCAGTCCAAGGGACTCTCAAAAGTCTTCTCCAAAACCATAGTTCAAAAGCATCAATTGTTCAGTGCTCAGCTTTCTTTATAGTACAACTCTCACATCCGTACATGACTACTGGAAAAACCATAGCATGGGGTCACCAGAGACCACAACTGTTTCCCTGGGTCTCAAATATTTGAGAAAATTGAGACCCTGGGCTCATCTCTCAACATATTTTATCCTCCCCCATTCTACCCTATCCAAAAAGACAACTTATTAATAGTTTAAAGGAAGAAGTGAGGTCTTGTATGGGACAATTTATTATTTGAATAATAATAAATGAATAGGTTATACAGTCATATGGCTCAAAGTTTTTTAAAGGGTTTATGCTACTAAGTCACCCCCACTAGGTCCCTTCCACCTGGATGCCCTCCAGAGGCAATCACTGTCACCCATGTCTTCTGAATATGCATCTATAAGACATGTAAATATGTATTTATGATCTTTCCTTTAGAACACAAAAGGTGGTGCCTTATACACACTTCTGTACCTTGCCTTGCTCTCTAGAAGATTAATTAATATAAAGAAATATGATTGGTTTTATAGCTATGTAATATTGCTTTGTAAGACTGTATAAGAATTTGGTTAATGAATCTTCTAGGAAAGGCAGTTCTATAATTTGAAATCTCTGGACATGTGTAGAGAGACCCTGGCTCCAGACCCATTCCATCCACATCAGCCCAGGGACAGCCTGTGGGGGAGGCTCCACCCCCAGAGGTCCTGGCTCCTTTGCACGGTCACACGTGATTGGACAACGCCTGGCTCCACAACAGGTCTTCTTGCCTCTCTCCCTAGGTGCCCACCCAACCTCCCCTACTGGCTACTGCAGTGTGCAGAGGACACAGGTCACAGGGAGACCTGGCACAAAATGACCACTCCTCGTGACCACTGCACCCACAAATCCACCTCAAGGGCTACCTCGAGCTGCTGCTGTCTCCACGACCACCCCTGCAAGAGGATGCAAGACAGGCCTATACAAACACACTGTCCCCGGACTGGGAAAGGGGCAGCCTCCAGACACAGGGAGACAGATGGGAACTGTCTTCTCAAGCTAGATGTCCCTTGCATTTTCAGACTTCCACAGGCCTAGAGTCAGAAAAGGAGACCAGAGTTGAAAAATGAGAGCTGAGGAACCTCAGCTGAGGTCCCGGAGGTAAATACCAAGATATAAGAATAGGTAAGAACAGGAGGAGGCAAGGCAAGAAGGAAGAGAAGAAGGAGGACCAGGATGAGAGGAATCAAGGGCCAAAGAGCCCCTTCCAGCTGGACTCCTGGCTTCACAGTCCTGGCAGGAATCCTGTTGGTGGCCATCCCCTTAGAGAGCCACCATCCAGCCCTCCCACATGAGGACTGGGGAGTCTCAGGGGAGACCTGGCATGGCCTAAAAAGCTTTGAGAGTGCAGGAAACCAGACAAAAGGAAACAAAACAAAACACATCAAAACCAGGAGGCGATTAGAAAGGTTTAATAATCATTCCAGACTCCCCATGGGCCATTCCTCTCCTCTCTGCCACAGGAACCCAGCAGCTTGGGGTNTTTCCCTTAGGGTAACCGTGGATTGCAAGCACCTGCCTTCTCTGCCCCTGCGGCCCTCCAGGCTCTGCTCTCAGCCCACACACCTGTCAGTGAACTTGGGGACTTGGACGGTGTTACCTTGTCACTTCCTGGCCTTTGAACATGTTGTTCTCTCTTCCTGGACACTTGTCACTACTCAATTCCTTCTCCTGTGGCCAGCTCTGTCCATCAGCTTAGACATCACGTCCCTCAGGAAGCCTTCTCCAGTCCCTAAGTCCAGGTTAGGAACCCCTGCTTTGTCCTCCTCACACCTCCCTGAAAAACTCCCTGATGTTTGACTGCTGACTTGCCCCTGTCACCCCTGGGGCGACGTTGTGCCTTACTCCATAATGTACCCTGGTGCCTCCCAAGGTGCCTGGCACACAGGAGGCATTGGGGAAGTCTTTGGTGAACGCATGTGGGAATCCTACCCTGCACTCACAGAGGAGCCCTGCCTAGGGGCTGCAGGAGAGCCAAGGCAGGAGGCCACAGCTTCCGCTGCTCACAGGCTTTGCCTGTGTCTCCATGCCTGGGTTCCCAGGTATGCCCCTCCTGTAAGGACACCTTGGGTGTCCCCAGTTCAGGTCCTCAAGGGCAATGGACCCAAGTCCAAAAGATTGTGCCCTTGGGGACAGGAGTTCCTTAGAATCTGACATCCTGGGTTACCCTTCCCTCCTTTGGCTTGACACTGAGTCTGAGGCTATCAATCCAGCCAGCTTCAAGGTTTTAAGGAGAGAGTGTGTGGAGTAGAGGGGCTGGAGGTCCACCTTACAGGCCTCCTGATCTCAGCTGGGCTGATCAGCTTATTATCTACATGTCCACTGAGCCCTGGGCCAGGGGTGTCATCCCTAGACCAGCTAGAGAGACACACCTAGAGAGACACAACCATAGTCCCTTTTCCACATCAAAGCATCCACGCACACTCACACGCACACAAACCACTTGTAAATGTTCATGGCCTTGGTACAGGTGGTGAGGGGAGGCCCCTCCCAGGGGGAAGGCGGCCTGCTCCTCCGTCTCCAGCTTCTTCCGTGTCACCTGCAGCCTCTGTGTCTGGTGCTCGGGGCTCCAGGGTATCGCCATGGAGACAAAAGCCATGTCCTCAGCCCAGACCCAGTTCTCCAGTCCTGTGGGAATGGAGCGGGGAGAAGGGAGGAGCAAGAGTTGGTCAGGCGGCTGCCCTGTCCCCTGTGGAGTCTGCCTGTGCCTGGCTTCAGAGTAGGAGCCAAAAACAAAGCCAGACTGAGTGTGTCCCTTGCTTCCCATCTCTCACCCACAGATGTCCCCCATCTTCCAGGCCCCTCTACCGCAATCCTTACCTCTCCCAGGGTGTCTTACCTCCCACATCCAAATCCACCTTGTAGTGTGCACTGTGAGTGTGAACAGTGCCCAGTGTGTTCTCGCGAACCTGGTTTCCATAGAGTCTGGCAGCACCAAAGTGGAACACTGAGCTGATGAAACCCGTGGCATGCAATTTGACTGTAATGGCCCCATTGGAGTGAAAGATCACATCCCAAACATAGTCATAGTTGAGCAAAGCCGACACAGACCTGATGACCAGCACTGTCTCCACAACGCCCCCAAAATAGTGAGAAAACACATCTGAGTGGTGTCGCCTCAGGGGCAGGCCCTCGTTCTGCTCAAACACACAAAAGGCATCGTGTAGGGTCCTGGGGGCTTGGGACTCCAGAAGGAAGTGCCAGTCCACATAGGTGGCCAGATAGGGGCAGTCGACGCCGCGGGTCAGGGGCGTGGCGAACTTGCCCATGCCAAAGCTTCGATCCATATAGCGGTTTACCATTGATACTGGGGTAT